TCCACTTTTATGTTTAAAGATACGTTTAGGCAAAAAAATTTCATTCGAACCCGAACATATTGAGCATAATACACACTAAACGCCTCGAAACGATTATCGTTGAACAATTCATGCGTCGGAGGAATTTAGAAGCACTTGCGATGAACGATAGAGGGGCCGGACTCATCGTATTCTTGCTTAGAGATCCACATTTGTTGGAAGGTGGATAGAGAGGCAAGGATGGATCCTCCGATCCAGACGGAGTATTTGCGCTCAGGGGGAGCGATGATCTTGATCTTCATGGTGCTGAAAAAAGAAGAAAAACTATGAGGATACAGAAGCTCATACAAACGTTTGGTGGATTTACCTGGGGGCGAGAGCGGTCATTTCCTTTTGCATGCGATCAGCGATTCCAGGGTACATTGTGCTACCGCCGGAGAGGACAGTGTTGGCGTACAAGTCCTTACGGATATCGATATCGCACTTCATGATTGAGTTGTATGAGTTCTCATGGATACCAGCAGATTCCATACCCAGGAAGGAAGGCTGAAAAATTATTTTGAGTGTGCGGAACAAAAGCCATGACAGTAAGGTTTTCAGACCTGGAACATGGCTTCGGGGCAACGGAATCGCTCGTTTCCGACAGTGATAACTTGTCCGTCAGGAAGCTCGTAGGACTTTTCAAGGGAGGATGAAGAAGCAGCTGTAGCCATCTCTTGTTCGAAGTCGAGGGCGACGTAGCAGAGCTTCTCCTACAAAGAATAGGGGTGCAGATGTCACCATTGTTCTGAGTATTGCTGTTATTTTTCTCTTATTATTCTATGGTTCCTTACCTTGATGTCTCGGACAATTTCACGCTCAGCCGTGGTCACAAACGAGTAACCACGTTCAGTGAGGATCTTCATCAAGTAGTCAGTAAGATCACGTCCGGCAAGGTCAAGACGAAGGATTGCGTGGGGAAGGGCATAACCCTGAAAGCGGCAACTCACTTCTCCCCTAGAAATTCAGCATACCGGAAGTCTCACCTCATAGATTGGGACAGTGTGGGTTACTCCATCTCCAGAGTCAAGGACTACCCCTGTTGTTCGGCCGGAGGCGTACAACGAGAGCACAGCCTGGATAGCGACATACATGGCAGGGGTGTTGAAGGTCTCAAACATGATCTGGGTCATCTTTTCTCTGTTGGCCTTGGGGTTAAGAGGGGCTTCAGTCAGAAGGACGGGGTGCTCTTCTGGGGCAACACGAAGCTCATTGTAGAAGGTGTGGTGCCAGATCTTCTCCATATCATCCCAGTTGGTTACGATACCGTGCTCAATGGGGTACTTTAGGGTGAGGATACCTGAAAGAAGTTACATGCATGCTTTCCCTGTGTCCAGTCTTTACTCTGTGCCACCAACCTCTCTTGGACTGAGCTTCGTCTCCTACGTATGAGTCCTTCTGTCCCATACCGACCATGACACCCTGGTGACGGGGTCTGCCGACGATGGAGGGGAAGACGGCTCGAGGAGCGTCATCTCCTGCGAATCCGGCCTTGCACATGCCGGATCCATTGTCAACCACAAGGGCAGCAACCTCGTCGTCGCACATTTTGGCAGTCTAAAAATGTAAAAATCCATATTTCCTGCAAGGGAAAGCATAGTGAAGAGAGGATAGGAAGGAATGGTCCATCAAGTAGCTGAGGAGCACAAGTACACGTCACAGCTAACTAAGCACTATTCAAGACGAACGCTGGTGAACCGTGAGACTGGGAATGGTGAGTCCTGGTAGTTAACCCCAGCTTATGTACCCAAACCTTACACTTAAAAGAAGTAGTTTGCGTGGAGATTTTCCTGGTAATGTTTAAAAATCAGTAACCATAGAGCATGCATTTCGTGGAACTAAGCAGCACTGAGCGACGAAAAGATTGATGACAGTGGATCATGAGGGCGGCCCCTTCAAAGCGTTTCTGTGAATTCATTCTCAGTTTCTAGGGTTCCATGAAGGAACCGGAGTTACTTGTTTTCTGACTCTTAGCTGGTATGCTGACTGAATATTCCGTGTTTTCCAATATGGGCATGGCCACAAGTGGAAATCCATCTCGATTCAGTTTTTTGTGTACTTTGGAAGTGTAAGGTCCAATGATCAAACAGAAAGTTCCTATCGCTTCTAACATGGGACCTTCTTTATGCCAATACTTAATCGGTTCCACCTTTAACACACTACTGCAACTAAGTTTCTAAATTTATGGTTTTAATGTGATAACAACTGCCCTCTTTCGAATTTTCCACCTTAGATTTTTTGTTGCCTAGAAAGTCCGCTCTTGTAGTTTCCCTAAAGACCAATTCAAAGTGGGGTGAATCTCTTCTGATTGAAGTAGGTAGCTCATGATCACTTGCGGCATGAGAGGACAACTTGGGTAAAAGTCTTGCTTTGCAGACTTTTTTTCAGGAAATTACCAATAAGGGAACGTAAATTTGGGCGATATTAAAAATAATTTTTTGCCTGATTTTTCGCCTGGTTCGTATAGGTAAACTTAGCAGTTTACAACAAAAGATCGGCGTGAGTCTAGCGTAATTGTTGAGCAACATTTTGTGATGTTCACCTAATTATTCCCTACTGTAGTATATCTCAGAAAGTATCTCCATCTCGAAAATATCCTTCACAATCGAACTTTTAAGTCTGGGGTTAGAGATTCCTCATTGAAAAGCTAAAAAATTGGCCACACCCAGCTTTAATTGCGACTTTGTTGTTCAAGTTAACGCTGTGTAAAAGCAGATGGCCCTATGTCCCACGAACACGCGCGCGCACGCGGCAATTCTTTGATAGTGGTCTCGTGGCATCAAATTAAAATGACCATAATCGCCCATTGAATCCACTCAGCAATCGTTCAAATCCATCCATTTGCGCGCTCGGGTCGCCAATCAAATTTTTGCGATACGCAGCGGGTGTAGTGAGCGCGGCACCTCGCTTGGGTGTGAATAACCTACCTCTAATCGAGGCCAGAACGAGCAGCATTCAGATGATTCCGTGAACAAAAATGATCGTCTACCGATGACGAGGATGGATCTTCTTTCCGATGAAAAATGTTACCAATAGGGAACATCTCTGTTCTGATGTGACGAAGCGGATAGATGAAGTTAGCGCTAGGACGCATCCTAACGTAAACAGCTTCTAAATTCTAGAGCTTTACATAATTCGATGTAATCGGAACCAGCGGTATTTTAACTGCAGCAAGGTTCCCAGATTTTGCGTGGTTGGATAGAATTTCGCCATGCCACCGCCTCAACATTCAAGCTCCACCTCCATGCTGTGATGTGCTGGGAGGTTTCTAGGAAGAGAGTTAGTTACGAAATTGACGATACACTGCAGTGCAATGGCGGCAACGTGATTTTCCACATACTTTACAGTTTTCTTGTGATAGGCAGTTATTGTTTAGATTCACGGGCTACCGTCAGACTAAACAATAATTGCAGAGATATCTAAGAAAAAAAAATGAAGATATTCCATTTGCTCTGTCGGCTGCGGACAAACCGTTTAATTAAACAAGACCAAGGCTCCGAATCAACGAGATGAGGAATGAAGTGGTCATGTAAACTGAGTTCAGGATGCGCCATGCGTCCAACTTCCTTTCGTGGTTTTTTCAAATAATCCGATTGTGCCTGACCTTCAGAGAATAAGTTGTGTTTGGTGCATCTAATTTTCTGAGAAAGCGATACTGATGGATTGCTCCGGAAGGATTGGACGGCTATGATCGATAAAAAAGAAATTCTCTGGTCCTTGATCGTGTTCATATCAAGATCGGTTGAAGTTCTGACTTTTTAGACTTTCCAGCAAAGCCATTACATAGTTTCTATCGCTACAACTTCTAGCCACATTGTTTCTTTCATGAATTAATTAATAGCCTCATTTCATTTTAGTAATTTGTGTCAGGGGAAGTGACGAATCACAAAGTTTACTAATCGAATTGGGAGCTGCCGTGTATTGTTTCGTCATGCTGAAGTAAACTGATCGTTCTGAAGATAAACTAGAACGGTTCAGTGTATATTGAATGTGATTGAAGGACAATCGTCTTCACCTTTATGTGCATAAAATTTATGTTCGGACTGAATATTTCATTCAAACCCGAACGTATTGAGCATAATACACAATGAACATTCGACGAGAATAGTTGAGCTGTTCCGTTTGCCGTATGAGTTTAGAAGCACTTGCGGTGAACGATGGATGGGCCAGACTCGTCGTATTCTTGCTTGGAGATCCACATCTGTTGGAAGGTAGACAGGGAGGCAAGGATAGATCCTCCGATCCAGACGGAGTATTTGCGCTCAGGGGGAGCGATGATCTTGATCTTCATGGTGCTGAAAAAAACCCATGAGGAAACAGAAGTCCAAACAACTTCGACTAATTGCAAATAAGATTACCTGGGGGCAAGAGCGGTCATTTCCTTCTGCATACGATCAGCGATTCCTGGGTACATGGTGCTACCGCCGGAGAGGACGGTGTTGGCGTACAAGTCCTTACGAATATCGATATCGCACTTCATGATTGAGTTGTATGAGTTCTCATGGATACCAGCAGATTCCATACCAATGAAGGAAGGCTGAAAAAATTATTCTAAGCGTGCGGGACAACGGATGCAACCATTAGCTTCAAAAATGCCCTTGTACCTGGAACATGGCCTCGGGGCAACGGAATCGCTCGTTTCCGACGGTGATGACTTGTCCGTCAGGGAGCTCATAGGACTTCTCGAGTGATGATGATGAGGCGGCGGTGGCCATCTCTTGTTCGAAGTCGAGGGCGACGTAGCAGAGCTTCTCCTGGAGAAGACAGAAGTGCAGCAATACGGATATGAGCAGAGGGGTTGATGCTTACCTTGATGTCTCGGACAATTTCACGCTCAGCCGTGGTTGTGAACGAGTAACCACGCTCAGTGAGGATCTTCATCAAGTAATCAGTAAGATCACGTCCGGCAAGATCGAGACGGAGAATAGCGTGGGGAAGGGCATATCCCTAAAGATAAGAACTCAGTTTTCTACTCATAAAATCAGTACACCACAAGACTTACCTCATAAATGGGGACGGTGTGGGTGACACCATCTCCAGAGTCGAGCACTACACCAGTGGTACGTCCAGAAGCGTACAGGGAGAGCACAGCCTGGATGGCGACGTACATGGCAGGGGTGTTGAAGGTCTCGAACATAATCTGGGTCATCTTTTCTCTGTTGGCCTTGGGGTTAAGAGGAGCCTCAGTCAGGAGGACGGGGTGCTCTTCTGGGGCAACACGAAGCTCATTGTAGAAGGTGTGGTGCCAGATCTTCTCCATATCATCCCAGTTGGTGACGATACCGTGCTCAATGGGGTACTTCAGGGTGAGGATACCTGAAAAGGTAGTAATCGCTATCCTTCCTTTCTGAGTCGAGTTATGCTCGTTTTACTGACCTCTCTTGGACTGAGCCTCGTCTCCTACGTATGAGTCCTTCTGTCCCATACCAACCATGACACCCTGGTGACGTGGTCGACCGACGATGGAGGGGAAGACAGCTCGAGGAGCGTCATCTCCTGCAAATCCGGCTTTGCACATTCCGGATCCATTGTCAACCACAAGAGCAGCAACCTCGTCGTCGCACATTCTGGCTAGCTGTAATTATTCATATTTGATTTCTTCAAAGAAGATAGTCGAGTACGAATACTGGTAAACGGCACATGTATGATTATGAACGACATAGTGGTACGAGGTCTACATTTGATACTCACAGCAATGGCTTTTATGAAAATTTTGATAGAATTCTTCGACCCAATTGGTATATCAATGAAAAAAGAAGGACATGATCCCCTGTGTTTTTTACCTACAGTGGATTCCCTAAAGTTGTTGTATTTGGAAGTCTAGGGGGATTAGGATACCAAAATGCAAGAATAGATATACCATAGCTTGAGAAAATAGGAGTTCAATTCGAAGGCTTTTATGAAACAGATTCAGGTTGAGCGTACTAGGTGTACAGATTGTATAACTGTGCAATACAATGCTAGTTATAAGGAGCTTTTATAGGTGAACGTGATAACAACAAGAAATAGCAGGTGTGAAGGAATTCTAGGTAGCACCTCCGAGCCGGCCGCCATGGCCCGTGTATTCGCAGAAGTGGCACTGGGCGGTAGTGAGACGGAGGATGAATTGGGGCGGCGCCGTGAGCGTGGTTCGTGGAACTCAGCGTATCTTTAGCGCAATTGTTCCTAGGAATCATAAAGAAAAGCACACGTAACACACAATATATAATGGGCCCTTAACATTGGCAAAGGTGTGAAGCTTACTTGCCATCTGTCTCTCCCTCCCCTACTTTGTTATTCGATAATAAGGGTTTCCACTTGTACCAGTAAACAATAGGAACATGTATTGACTATCATTCTCGTAGTCATAGTTAATGGCTTATCTCAACCTTATCACTTCCCTTGATACAAGATAGGATCATTAAGTGTTTGCGTTTCCAGCAGTTAGTCTCACAGTTACAGCTCTAAAGGTTTAAGTAAGTAAGATGGTCCCGGTTATTTCCATTCCTCGTTCTTTCCATCCCTGCCACAATGTCCTGCACCTTTTTGGAACGCCCATATTCCCTTTTCAGCTTGCCAGAATGTGCGACGACGAAGTTGCTGCTCTCGTGGTTGACAATGGATCCGGTATGTGCAAAGCTGGGTTCGCCGGAGATGACGCTCCTCGAGCCGTCTTCCCTTCCATCGTCGGTCGACCACGTCACCAAGGTGTCATGGTCGGTATGGGACAGAAGGACTCATACGTAGGAGACGAGGCTCAGTCCAAGAGAGGTAGGTGGCACAGAGAAAAGATTAGACGCAAGGAAAGCATGCATGTAACTACTTTCAGGTATCCTCACCCTGAAGTACCCCATTGAGCACGGTATCGTCACCAACTGGGATGA